CTGGAAAATACCAAAATAATACTCAAAAAGTCTCATTGATTTTTACAAACTTGTATTTAGCATGTGCTCTGGTCTAGGTACTCTGCTGGGCTTGAGTATACAAAGATTTATGTGTGGCATTTCTATCTTAGGAGACGCTTAATTTTGGGAGAGGGAAAACAGAGATAAACAGCTGCATGCAGAGGCAAGGTACAGGTGCTGGGGTAGGAGTGTATATTGTCTGTAGTTGAGGCCCAAAGGGAGGCAGGCATGTGGATACCCCTTGAGCATCCATGTGGATAAGTTGGTGAATGTAGATGAGGCCGTTATACTGTTGTGTATTGCAACTCCTTGAACAGTTGCACTTGCATTTTATACCTCTTTGTTGGAACAGCGTATTTATCTGTTGGAGGAAAAACAGCTCTATATTCAGTCCTGTCCACTGTAACATCCGTTTTGAAAATTTGGATAAACGCTAAGGATGTGCTAAGAAAGAAACAGGTCTAAAATCTAGTGTCAGAAATTGTCAGTTTATGGGACTAATTCTCCTGAGCTAAATGTAACTTTGTATAAAACAATATGAAATTATTATTTAAAGATTTTGCTGAATTTGTACTAAGGTTGGCAACAACAGCAAAACATCAAGATAACCAGTGTTACCAGGGAAGGTAGTATGATTCCTGGACATTTGGGAAACTGTTACCAAAGGGCCTTTTATTTTCAGTTTTTTTCACAGAAACTGTCAAGCAATCTAGTAGCTCATGAACTTCTAAGAATGAAAATGTATTATTTCAGAGTGAGCTGATGATGTATTCTGAGATATTTAAATTTAGTTCTGATTTGTGAGTCTAATAGAACTGTCTAGTGCAATAATCAGTAAATGATCTTACTAGCTATGTGATGGTAGTCTAATTACTAAACCTCTTAGAATCTCAGTTTTCTCATCTGTAAAATGTTGATAATACCTACTATGTAGGCCTTTATGAAGCTCAAATGAGATAGTGTGTACATAAAGCACTTCGTACAGAAACTAGAACATAAAAGGGAATTGCTAAAGAGATAATACAAACAATCCTCTAGGGATTTAGATGTTAAAATAAAATCACTTTCTTTCTTTCTTCTTTTCTTTCTCTGAAATGGAGCCTCGCTCTGTCACCCCGGCTGGAGTGCAGTGGTGTGATCTTGGCCCGGCGCATTCTGTCTCCTGGATTCAAGCAATTCTCCTGCCTCAGCCTCTGAAGTAGCTGGGACTACAGGAACACACCACCACACCTGGCTAATTTTTTGTATATTTAGTAGAGACCGCTTTCACTATGTTGGCCAGGCTTATCTTAAACTCCTGACCTCAGGTGATCCACCCACCTTGACCTCCCTAAGTGCTGGGATTACAGGCGTGAGCTACCATACCTGGCCTAAAATCACTTTCCTTTGAGCTATAAAAATAAAAGTGTGTTTGCTTGTCTCTACATAAAATGCAAAAATTAGCTGGGCATGGTGGCGCATGCCTGTAGTGCCAGCTACTCAGGAGGCTTAGGTGAGAGGGTTACATGAGCCTAGGAGACAACGTTGCAGTAAGTCCATCCCAGTGATTCTTCTCTGTATTAACAAGAGGACTCATCAGAGTCAAAACCTGACACTGGGACTCAGCAGCAAGAGATAGATAAACTGCTTTTTCTCTACATTTATGTCTCCATCATTTATTTGCAAGATGGTGACCTCTTTGACTGGTGTGTGCTGTTAAATATTTTTTCACCTATCTCCTATACAGAAATGATACCTTCACCAGTGTTTTCAGATCATCTACAGTAACCATTTCTCAGAGTTCATGATTCTTGTCCTCAACCCCAGTGCTTTCCAAAGTGTGATTTGCTCATTGGGTAACATTGAGGGAAAGAAAATCATTAAACTAACTTACTTACTTACTTACTTACTTACTTGCTTACTTACTTCTTACTTACTTACTTACTTACTTACTTCTACCCTTTCTTCCCTGCTTTCTTCTTTTATCTAAAAAAGTAAGAATGAATTTGAGTTTTTCCAATAGTTAATTTATATGTAAACACTGAACCCATCACTTGGATTGCTTCTCAGAATGTCGTATGTTACCTGTAGCATGTGAGGTTTCTGAAGGAAGATTGTGGGATTCCAGTAATGAAAAGAAGCTAGCAGTGTTACCCTCACTCTCCTTTCTCCTCCCCTCTCCCTTCCTTTCCCCTGCTTTCCTCTCCTGTAGCATATACGCTATTAAATATTGTGACATCTTCATATACAATGTCAGTTAAAATCATATAATTAGACTTTCTACAATCAGTAGAATTTTATTCTTCTACTGGCAGTGATGTACTCCAGTATTCCTGTCTCTTGTTTTGACTCTAATTTTATATGTACATGCAAAATCCTCAGATAGTCTGACCCTTTTTCACAAATAGAACTTTTTTGACTTTAATGCTTTTTCTTCTGAATTTACTCATGTCTACAATAAGACAGAAATGGATGTAGCTATATAGAGATAATAGAGCTAAATTATCCAAGGTTTGAAAAATCATGGAATGATTTTACTAATGCCTAAATATGCTGCAATTTTTAACAGCTACATATAATAAGGGGAAATACTGAAATTGGAAGAGTAGAAAAATCGTTAACTGTTCTCTATGACTGATTAATCCTGCCTTCTTTCCTTTTGATTCAGTAGAACAATTTGTAATTGCAGAAATTTATAATAGCCTTGGCCCTAGCTTAAGAAATAGTTTGTTTTCGGAAGTTATTTTGTAAGTTATTTAGGACTGGAAACAATGTTTTAAATGGTAGTTGTTTTCTAGACTAGCTGATCTAATATTTTAGCACTTGGTACTACTGAATTAAAGTACTAAAGGTAGATATAGTTCCAGGTTTCAGGTCCTGGATTAAGAGTCATCAGGTACTTTAAATAAGAAAGAAGAGGAAATTTTGTTTTCTTTAATTGGACCTACAGCCAGCCCTGGGCAGAGTACCTTTTACTATATTCCACCTTCTCTCTAGAAGATTAATAGCATGACACTCAATCCTTAAAAGTAGATGTGTTTGACTTGAGTTGCCTTGAAGAAGACTATCTGATAATGGAAGATCCAGAGGGCCAGCAAATGCCTTCTAATAGTTGAGTCAAAGGAGATGAGGTAAGGGAACCAAGGAGTCAGGGACATAGAAGAAAAGTAGCAGAGTGGACCTCTACTTGGGCAGGTCAGGTTGCTTGATAAAGCAGTACGTTGATCAGTACAGAGGATAAAACCTTCCTTGTGAAGACCTGTGAGATAAGCAATAGAATTCTCACCAGGCATGAATCATACACTCAGTTATCACATTTATTGATAGATGGCAGTCACATTGAAGATAGATTCAGTGACTCTAGATTGCAAGTATTGGAAAGCCATTGTAACAGTCAACTGGAGCCTCTTGATCCCTTCAAGTCTCAGAAGAGCCTTGTCTTAGTTCACCAGCTACTTCTTTTGCCATAATAAATTATGAGTTTCTTCAGTACTCAAGATTCTAGCTAGGTATTAGGTAATAGCTCTAGTGCAGGAGATTTACAAGAGTGCAAGAGATATGCATGCTGTTGATTTTTTTTTAACTTAGTTGGTAACAGACATACTGATTTCTAGGCAGTGTAACCAAGTGAAATAAACAGTTTTCTTTCTTAACTACTCTTCACCTATTATCCTCATTTGATCCATTTTCAACCCTAAAAAAAGTGTTCATTGAAATGGATTCTGGTATTCTCTTGTGTAAAATAAGTACTGTTCAGTTTCTGGAATATCTAATTGCACCACAACTACTAAAGGCTCAAATACTCATCAAAATGAATAGAATTTTTCCATGAAAATTAAATCTTACCTTTTTCATCAACTATATTATGACATACTTTGTCAGTATAAGAATATACACAAAAGTAAAACTGGTACATTTTGTGTGGAAATCATCATTTTGGATTATACATTTTCTTCCTTGGTTGTGTACTAGTGATTAAAAACTAATTATTGTGTTTAATAAGCTACTTTATAAATTTTGTATTTTAGAATTTGAGTATCTGGTGTTCAGAATTCAAGTTGTTATAAAAATAAGCTGCCCAGGAGATGCATGTATTTTATATTCATCATATATTAAACTTCATATAGGCATTCTTTTAAGTGGGAGTATACAATCCAATATTTATAAATCCAGTGACAAGTATACTCAGAAACTAAAGGTAGTAAGGATTTAATTGCAAAACAGCACCTTAATGTTCTCTTATTACCCTAAAATCTTATCAGTTGACCTTCTTCTATTATTTAATTCCATCACATACCAGTAATTGCATTTATTGAAGCTAGTATTTCTCATTATAGGAAATGCTGATCTTAGTGAATCTCAAAAATAGGGAGGGAAATGTTCTTTAATAAATAATTAAAAGACTTTTTACTACTTTTCCCAATTCAGTACTGGTTTTATTACCTTTTATGTCAGGGGTATTTTATAAGTGGTAACTAAATTATGGAATCTAAAAAAATCATCTCTTCAAGGAATCTCACAAGGTATGCTACATAATAGCTTATTCTAAGTAGGTTAAATAGACTGGCTTTATCTCAAGTGGTTTACTGTATTAAAGAAGAGTTTAACATATTCAGCTTTACTGCTGAAACACCAAATGAGTTCTGACACCTCTGATGAGATGATTAAAGTTGGGAGTTTTTTCTCTTGACAGCATCAACAAAGAGAGCATTGTGGATGTAGAAGGTGTTGTGAGAAAAGTGAATCAGAAAATTGGAAGCTGTACACAGCAAGATGTTGAGTTACATGTTCAGAAGGTAACCTTTTTCAAAATATAAAATTGTATATAAAAATAGATTTGGGTTATAATAGTTTTTCATGTCAAATGTATATGTCCTTACTGATTAAAATTAATGTAAAATACTGAGATTTATAAATTAGTTACTGAATCAGTTGGCTTTTGTTATATAACATCACCTCGGTACTTAATGACTTAAAACAACAAACATTTATTTGCTTACAGTTCTGTGATGCACCCAACTGAGATAGCTCATCTGTTCCATGTGGCATTGGCTGGGCTCACTGATAAATCTGGGGCGTCCGTTCCTGTGGTCTCCCCTTATCCAGCAGGCTTGCCCAGATATGTTGATATTCAGGTCCCAGGAGGGTTCCCAAAGGCGAGAGAGAAGAGAGTGAAGCCCTAAGAACAGATACTTTTCAAGCGTCTACTTGTGTCTGTCACATCTGCTAAATATTCGACCGGACAAAGTCACACAACAAAACTTAGATTTAAGGCGTAGAGAAATAGATTCTAACCCTTGATGGGAGGAAAGGCAACATTATTGCAAGGGAATATATATGCAGGAGCAAGAGGAAGTATTGTAGCCATTTTTGCAAACAGTCTACCACAGCCACATAGGGAAGAATATAAAACACATCTGAAAAACTGCTCACCAATATAAGTGAGTAATGATGAACCTATCTTGCTGTAAGTTTTCTGATGTACTTTAAAGGATGATTAATTAATTCTTAATCTTATATCTCATAATCATTATTTTTCTGATACTTTTACAGCATAGAGAAGTCAAAAGAAATAATACCATATTGGTCTTATATTCCAACAGTCGCTGCTTTTTTTTTTTGAACAAGACTTATCCCTCATCTGTTTTTTTCTCAGGATTAAAAACTGAAAGAGCTGATTATCATTGACTTAAATATCATAAGTGCCACTTGAGGCCAGGTGTTAAGACCAACCTGGCCAACATGGTGAAAGCCAGTCTCTACTAAAAATACAAAAATTAGCTAGGCATGGTGGCAGGTGCATGTAATCCCAGCTGCTCAGGAGGCTGGGGCAAGAGACTTGCTTAAACCCAGGAGACAGAGATTACAGTGAGCTGAGATCATGCCACTGCACTGCAACCTGGGTGACTGAGTGACAGCCCATCTTAAAAAAAAAAACCATAAGTGAATTCACACATATTTAGTACTATTGAAATAACCCTGCCACTTTGAACCTGCAGTGCTCAGATTTAGGTCTAGATTGTATCTACAGTATGCATCCCTAAATTTCTCTTAAGGAGTTGTCTTTAAGACAGCATGGCTTCTTCTCACCTTGATCCATGTGCACATGCATGAGCATATATAAGTCAGGGAGACTGACAGGCAGACAGATTCAGAGATAGGCCCATACCTACTTATTAATTTAAGAGTAACATTGTATTTAACTGGAATTTTTATTATGATGGAACTCTTGAAGACTTAGAAAACCTTGCAATTTTTACTGACCTAATTTGACAAATGACTTTGTTATCTTTGTGTAAGTCTCATCTTGAACCAACCCCAACAGGAAGTTTGTAACCCAGTAAAGGCAAATTGACCAAAGAATAAGAATAGCGATAAATGAATAAACCCCATTTATGCTCACCAAGAAAGGTAACTCCCACATCTTCCAAGTAACACACTTTTTCAGTACTTGAATGAAAAAAATTTGGCCAGATGTGGTGACTTACACCTGTAATCCCAGTGCTTTGGAAGGCCAGGGTAGGAGGATCTCTGGAGGCCAGGGTGGGAGGATCACTTGATCTCAGGAGTTGGAGGTTACAGTGAGCTATGATCATGCCACTGCACTCTAGCCTGGGTGACAAAGCAAGACCCTGTGTCAAAAAAAAAAAAAAAAAAAAGTGTGTGTGTGTGTGTGTATTTCTGTTTTTTACTATTATCTAGATGTATGCAGTGCAACATCAATAAATATTAATAATAAATTTTAAGCCTAAAGAGCTTATAAATTTTGCCATAATAAAAATAATTATCAACTATTTCACAAAGCATGAAGTATTACATACAAAGTAGATTTTTTTAAAAAATTCTTTTTTAAAAACAGTACTTTAAGTTCTGGAGTACATGTGCAGAACATGCAGGTTTGTTACATAGGTATACATGTGCCATGGTGGTTGGTTGCATCCATCCCCCTGTCATCTACATTAGGTATTTCTCCTAATGCTATCCCTTCCCTAGCCCCCCACCCCTCAACAGGCCCCAGTGTGTGATGTTCCCCTCCCTGTGTCCATGTGTTCTCATTGTACAACTCCCACTTAGGATTGGGAACATGTGGTGTTTGGTTTTCTGTTCTTGTGTTGGTTTGCTGAGAATGATGGTTTCTGGTTTCATCCATGTCCCTGCAAAGGACATGAATTCATCCTTTTTTATGGCTGCACAATATTTCATGGTGTATATGTGCCACATTTTCTTTATCTAGTCTCTCATTGATGAGCATTTGGGTTGGTTCCAAGTCTTTGCTATTGTGAACAGAGTTGCAGTAAACACACTTGTGCATGTGTCTTTATAATAGAATGATTTATAATCCTTTGGGTGTATACCCAGTAATGGGATTGCTGGGTCAAATGGTATTTCTAGTTCTAGATCCTTGAGGAACTGCCAGTCTTCCACAATGGTTGAATTAATTTACACTCCCACCAACGGTGTAAAAGCATTCCTATTTCTCAACATCCTTTCCAGCATCCTTTGTCTCCTTTTTAACGATCGCCATTCTAACTTGCGTGAGATGGTATCTCAATGTGGTTTTGATTTGCATTTCTCTAATGACCAGTGATGATGAGCTTTTTTTCATGTTTTTTGGCTGCATAAATGTCTTCTTTTGAGAAATGTCTGTTCGTATCTTTTCCCACTTTTTAATGGGGTTGTTTGTTTTTTTCCTGTACATTTAAGTTCTTTGTAGATTCTGGATATTAGCCCTTTGTCAGATAGGTAGACTGTAAAAATTTTCTCCCATTCTGTAGGTTGCCTGTTGACTCTGATGATGGTTTCTTTTGCTGTGCAGAAGCTCTTTAATTAGACCCCATTTGTCTATTTTGGCTTTTGTTTCCGTTGCTTTTGGTGTTTTAGTCATGAGGTCTTTGCCTGTACCTATGTCCTAAATGGTATTGCCTAGGTTTTCTTCTAAGGTATTTATGGTTTTAGGTCTTACCTTTAAGTCTTTAATCCATCTTGAGTTAATTTTTGTATGAGGTGTAAGGAAGGGAGCCAGTCTTTCTGCATATGGCTAGCCAGTTTTCCAAATACCATTTATTAAATAAGGAATCCTTTCCCCATTGCTTGTTTTTTTCAGGTTTATCAAAGATCAGATGGTTATAGGTGTGTGGCATTATTCTGAGGCCTCTGTTCTGTTCCGTTAGTCTATATCTCTGTTTTGGTACCAGTACCATGCTGTTTTGATTACTGTAGCCCTGTAGTATAGTTTGAAGTCAGATAGTGTGACACCTCCAGCTTTTGTTGCAAAATAGAATCTTATATAAGTAATGACTTTCCTCTATCACTTACTTATTTATTCAACCAGGAGTTACTGTTGTAACTGTTGTGCCAGGCACCATACTGTTGTGCCAAGCACTATGTGAAGATTCTGTGGTCAGAGTACTTACGGTCTAGTAAAGAGGATGAGGAATTCCCACTCATTATAAAAGTAGAAGTAGCAGCTCTTCAGTTCTCCAATTTAGTTAGATTGGAGATCAAGTTTCTGTTAACTTGTCAAAGGGAATCCTAGAATTTGGGCTTAGGGAGTGGTGACAAATAATTCTATTTTATAATAAGGAATACTAGGGTATTGTATACTATTTCTTAAAGTATCTAAGCTGAATGCCAGTTTTGATCTGCCAACTAGAAGAGTATAATTCCCTTTCTTGAAGTAACTAAATAAGATATTTTTCCCTTTTGTGCTTTAGCAGGTTTTCCAGATATAGTTTGGGTTAACTAATATGGTAATATGCTTTTTAAAGGTGGCCAGAGAAACAAAAAAATCCTAGCTCAGTCTTTATGACTCAGTTGCTTTTTATCACTAAAATGTGAAATTAGTGTGAGTGAATATTGAAGGATTTTGACAACATAAAGGAACATCCTCTAGGACAGCTCCTAACCAGGAGAGCAGCAGGAAATTAGATGTGTGTAATATGTTTGATTAGAGAGAGCAATGAGGGGATACTTGGAGAAAGAATGAGAAAAGGAGAAATGTAGTAGAGCTGGACTGAATTTGTTCCTAGTGGTGGCAGTGGCAGTGGCACTGGCCAAATGCTGTTAACAATAATAACAAGACGGCCGGGCATGGTGGCTCATGCCTGTAATCCCAGCACTTTGGGAGGCCAAGTTGGGTGGATCACAAGGTCAGGAGTTCGAGACCAGCCTGGCCAACGTAGTAAAACCCCATCTCTACTAAAAATACAAAAATTAGCTGGTGTGGCAGCACACACCTGTAGTCCCAGCTACTCAGGATGTTGAGGCAGGAGAATCACTTGAACCCGGGAGGCAGAGGTTGCAGTGAGCTGAGACCATGCCATTACACTCCAGCCTGGGTGACAGAGTGGCACTCTGTCTCAAAATAAATAAATAAATAAATAAATAACAACAAGTCATATGTTAATTGCTCCTTCATATGAGTTTCCACGTTTATTATTCTGTTTGATTCTTTTTATTTGTTTTGTTTTTTTGGGTTTTTTTATTTTTTATTCATTTTTATATTGTTTGATTCTTATAGCAGACTTTGTTTTAATTGAAGCTCTGAGATTAAGTGATTTCCCTAACAATAGCTTTTTTTGTGTTTGTTTTTGTTCCTATTTTTGTTTTTTTTGAGAAAGGGTCTCACTCTCACCCAGGCCAGAGTGCAGTGGTGCAGTCTTGGCCCATTGTAACCTCTGCCTCCCAGGTTCAAGTGATCCTTCTGCCTAAGCCACCCAGGTAACTGGGATGTTAGGCATGTGCCCATGCCTGGCTAATTTTTGTATTTTTTGTAGAGACAGGGTTTCACCATGTTGCTCAGACTGGTTTTGAATTCCTGGGCTCAAGTGATCCCCCCACCTCAGCCTCCCAAAATGCTGGGATTACAGGTGTGAGCCATAGCACCAACCCTAACCATAGCTTTTTTGACATAGCTAGACTGTAAGCCAGTGCCTACACCCCAGTCATTACTCATTTCATTGGTAGGCACCTCAGAATTTACAAATATTTTTTATATATGTTATCTTATGTTACTGTTCTAATAACCATAAAGATAGGCAAAAAATATTACTATCCTTATTTTAAACAAATCATCAAGTTGAGAAAACCTGTGTCATCTTGTTTGATTTCAGCAGTAGTTTCAGTTAAAGATGTATGCAAACATTGCTTCATGCTTTAGTCAACTGTAGATTGTTTTTTAAGCAAAAGATACAGACTTTGTGTGCTTTCTACTATTTTTGGCATTCTCTCACTTTCAGGTTTATGTGATCAGTTTGGCTGAACCCCGCCTGCCCCTGCAGCTGGATGATGCTGTTCGGCCTGAGGCAGAAGGAGAAGAGGTAAAAATTACACTTATGAAATATTATGTTTCCTCTGTATATTTAGTTTGCAGAACATTGAAAACCTGATGCCCTACTTTTGTACTAAGGATGCCTGTGAATTGATTTGAGCTCCATTGTTATATAAATTTACTCTTAAAATTAGCAATTCTCAAACTTTTTGATATCAGAATGCCTTTTACATTCTTAAAAATAACTGAGAACCCCACAAGCTTTTGTTTTTATTGGTATATGTATCAATGTTTACAGTATTGTGGATTAAAACAATTTTTAAATATTTACTTATTAAAAATTATTATATACATTGCATGCATGTTTGCATATGCAGTATTATGTAAATAATGAAACTAATAAATTTTATGAAAAAATTACTGTTGTTTAAAGCAAAAAACAATTATTATTGAGTGACATTGTATTTAGCAGTCCATTGCCTTAACCACTCGACCACCTCGTCCTACAGGTGACATTCTGTTTATATAACCACAATTCTTTGTAATTTCTGACAGTACACAACAACTAGATTCTCATACTGCCTCTGCATTCATTCTACTGTGATAATACACATCATAGAATCTTTAGAAAACTGCTCAATACACTCATTAAGAGTGAGAAAGAAAAAATAAGTTTGACTTCAACTCCTCAAAATTCTCAGGGACCTTCACTGCTCCCCAGACCACATTTTGAGAATCACTACTCTACATCAGCTTTTATCAGTTTATTCAGCATTGGGCTAGCAGGTTAAATCCAGGAATCAATGAAGAAGTGGGTGGTGAATCTTTCTTATATCCCAATAATGAGGCAAGGCTTTGAGGGGTGGAGGAGGGAAAGAAAGCATTAATAACTGTTGATTCTTTCTCTTCTTTCCATCTCTTTTAATGCTAACTTCTCTCTGGCCCCACTTAGTGTTTCTACCATTATTCGAGATCCCCGATTTTTGGGCATAATATTAATGTACACATGTCTTACTCAATTAAAAATAATCTTTTGTGCTCCTCAAAATGTTAGTAAAATGTGTTTTCTCTTTTTCTTTTTTTTTTTTTCAGGAAGGAAGAGCTACTGTTAACCAGGATACAAGATTAGACAACAGAGTCATTGATCTTAGGGTATGCCTCATTTATTTATTAAGTAAAGCCATTATGCTGATATCAAGAGGGGCAGGGAATACCATATCTGTCTCAGGCTTATAAAGCTAATTGGTATTTGCCTAACTGTACGTATGATAATACAGAAAACAGTTTTCTTTTATGACTGACCGTTCCCTAAAAAGAACTGCAGGCGGCTGGGCGCGGTGGCTCACGCCTGT